CATATTCGAAGATTTATGTAATTTTGCAATAATAACATTATTACTACCGCACTCAAATACAGAATTTGAACGCGTATTTGGTGCTATGAATGTAGTTAAAAGCAAACTGCGAAACAGGCTATCAAAAAAAAATTTAAATTCCATTCTTCTGATTAGAAATCAGTTAAGGGTTAAAAAAAGAATTGAGCAACGTATGATATTCCTGAAGATGTTGTCAACCAAGTCGGAAAGGCAAAATAAAAATGGGAACTGGAGAGATTGGCGAAGCTTCAACTTCCGCTGAAGTTCTTTTTGAAGATCTGGATCCATACTTCGCAATAAATTTTAAAATTAAGGTTTAAGAAAGTACTGAGCTAATTGATTTATTTTTAATAAGATGACTAATGTTTAAACGTGGTTTAAAGATTAAAGATTTTTTTACAATATTTTTTTTATTTTGTACATGAATAATTTTTGTTTTGGTTGTAATGTCTTAACCTACACTATAAATAACTTATTTATATGAAATAGAGTCCGCTCCAGGTATATAATCAAAGTCAAAGGTCCGTTTTCTTTAAGGTTTTTCTGAATTTATAGATTTATATTTTCGGTATTCATTGTATACCATTTGGCAAGATTTTTCAGTTAGTCCAATGGTAGCATGAAAATGTACCTAGGGACATCTAGCGGATTTTAAGAGAAAGAAAAATCCGGTTTCTGGCGGATTTTTTCTGTTAGTCTAGGGACTTTAAAATTTGTAGAACGGCAACCCTGCCGCTCACTCGCAACTTGCGAGTCAATAGTTTAGGTTTAGTTACTCAGTGACACTGACAGACAGACTGAGACACTAGGACTAGGTCAATGTCTCAGTGTGTCTGTCATTCGCAGCTCAGTCGCATCACGAGCGACGCGCCGCGCCCACGCTAAATTAGCACATAGCATCCAAATGAAGCATTAAATGCATTATTTGGATCTGAAACATGACCACAAAAGGTACTACCTTTTATGGTCGCCACACACGGTCAGTTCAAACAAAAACTGTTGATATTTTTTAAAATATTGATTTTTCGATATATCGATAAATAAACTTACAAATTAAACTCCGATATTGATATATTTATAATTATCAATATATCGAAAATTCAATATTTTAAAAAATATCAACAATTTTAGTTTGAACTTATCATATGGAATGATCGGTTGAACTGACCGCAGAGTTTCCACTTACAATTTTGGTTTGTCCCTATTTTTTTTAGGATTTATCCCTAAAATTCCCTAAACGATCTTAAAAATTCCTATTTTTAAGGAGCATATTTTTATTCGAGAAATTATACAATAATTTATTATTTTGAATATTTATTAATAAATCAACAAAAGATCAATCACCAAAAACCAGATCAGACAGAAGATTTAGAAGCTGAATCATTACTTTTGTAATATTTTGCTGCACTTATCATGGCACTGTTGGGTTCTAAAATTGAGCAATTGTTTGCTTGCATTCCGAACTTTGTGTGAAACAAGCCGTTCAGAGTTTCGTTAGAAAGTCTATTTCTTTTATCTGTTTTTACATTTTTTAGAATACTAAATAATCTTTCTACCTCAGTATTTGAAGATGGAACTGCTAGTAAAACTGAAATAACTACTTCAAGATTTTCGTAAATGAAATTACCATGATAATCTTTCATGCTTAGAACCTTATTCCAATAAATGTCAGCTGGCATGTTTTTTAATTCTTCTTCGCTTTCAACTCCAAAATGCTTTAAGTCTATAAGAGCTTGATTTCTCCATTCGTTATCTGCTTTTTGCATGTTGCATTTTGTCGTTAAAAAGTTAAATTTATCAAAAACATCTTTCACTGATTGTTTCTCCAGATTTCTTGCTATTTTTGGATCCACATACTTCAATATGTCGAAAAGTTTCTCATTCAAGTCGAACCGCTTTTGGATTTGCAATACTATTTCCACATAAAATTCACGACAACTAGCATAAAATTTGTTCACTTCTTCTATTGGGGCTTTTGTCTTTAAATCTTCAAGTATCGCATGTGCTTCCATACCAACGTATATATGATCATTATTGAGGTGAATTTCTGTTTTAGTGACGTCAATTTGCTTAAGGCTCTTTAGATCCGAGCTCAGATTCAGGTGCTCCTTTTTGACAAAGTTGCACAAAAAAGTGTTCAACATTTTCCGAACCATCACTGGCAGTATAAATAATTGTGGTGATTTTGTTTGAAAAAATGTATTAAAATCGTTAGTTATAGAGAAGACGTAACTCATGAAGTGTAATAAAGCTTTATTAAATGGGTTGTTAAGACTGTTCAAGATGGAATCATTTGTATTAGAGGGATCCTCAAAAACTGCCCCCGTAAAAAATAATTTCAATGCATCATACTGCTCTAATATCCTGTCGACACAAGCTTGAAGTGACAACCATCTTGTATTTGCTGCAGAAAGTAATTTATGTTGGTCAATTTTTAGAAAATCCTGAAACTGTTTGAGTGCTTCTGTTCGCTTAGGGCTCATATGAAAATATGCAGGTATATTACGGCACAAATCTTCTAAATTTTTAGGTAGTTTACGGGAGGCATATGATGTGGCGAGATGTATTAAATGGCATGAGCACTCTATAACGACCAGATGTGGAATTTCGGTTTTTAGTAAAGCCTGAACTGAATTGTGCTTTCCCATCATTACGTTCGTCGTATCTGATGTAAGTCCGAAGACATGATCAAGAGGTACTTCATGTTTTGAAAAACTTCCTTTTATTGTTTGGAGGATACCTTTTGCCGTTCCATCAATCATATCTATCAAATCAAAAAATCTGTATTCTACTTTTTTTGTCAAACTATTAAAAAATGTTATAATAATAGCCAACTGTTTTTTCACAGACAGATCTGTTGTTTCATCTATTATTATATTAAAATAGCTATTCTTCATGATATCAATCACTTCTTGTTTATATGTCGCTCCTGTGACTTGACGTAAAATATTTGTTGCTTTTTGTTTTCCTAGATGCACGTCATCTAAACATTTCGATTCCGGAAACAAGTTTCGCAACAGCGATACAAAATCATCGACTAAAGAAATTGGTAGATCATGTTTCGCAAGAAAGCCGCACATTTTTAATTCCATTTTTAATACATTAGTAGCGTGCGTCTGATTTTTGTTCAAAAAAGTTGACATTCTTCCACATTGCGAAATAACAGCCATCTTTTTGGTGTGTTTAGCACTGTTTTTATGTTTAAGTAATTCGGACATTCCACATACAAGATCACAATCGCATATTTTACAGTAAGCTTTTGTCTCACCTTTATCAGATTTCTTCAGCCAAGTCTTAAAATCAGGATGCTCCAGCCAAGAAGTTTTAAATTTTTGCACGTATTTTCTTTCCTTACTTGCTGACTTTAAAGTCGAAGAGGATGGTGTTTCATTATCTTCTTCCATTTTAAATTACTTACAATTTAATCGAAAAGAAAAAATTTTTTTTTTATATTCCAAGGTGCAATTCGGAGTTCAGTATGTAAATGAAACAAAACTAATCAAATCAAGCAAGCCTTGGTAGGTATACATAATATGACTAAGTTACGACTACATCTAAAACAACGGAACTGATATTATAAATGACAAATTAAAATTGGATGGATTACATTCATTAATAGTACGGGGGATTCCCCTTTCAAAAATAAACCGCGGGCGGTGGCACCATAGAGTTTGTACATACTACAACAGGGTTACCATCATAAGTTTTGATTTTCCCCCGAATTTCCCTAAATCCCTGTCTTATTAAAATAATCCCTAGTCATGTACAATTTCACTTAGTTTTCCCTAAAAAAAGGGAAAAATCCCTAAAAGTGGAAACACTGACTGACCGTGTAGCAACATTTTAAACAGAAACTTCTCTGTAGGCATGTCGATTCACTCGTAAAAAAATCGATCTCTAAATCGAATCGAACCAAACGTACCAGAATCGATTATCGATTAAATCGAGGATTTAAAAATCTATTTCAATTAAGTTTGCAAAATTTGCGACATTTTCTAAAATTGAACTTTTATAATTACATATACCTTATGTTTTATGTATAATTACAGGCTGTGGGGCATTCCATCTTAGTTGAAAACGTATATAAAGTGATTTTTATTTGACGTTGTTAAAATTCACATCAGATTAGGCTGTATGGTTTCAGAACTTTACCTACCTTAATTTGAGAGTCGTAAAAGCTACAACTACAACTAGCTCATTTAGTTTTTTTAGTTTTTTTTGGTATGATAATTTTTTCCAGATTTCGATAGGCCATAAGCTTAAAAACATAGTAAATTATTTTATTAATAACAGATATCAACGGTAACATAAGTAAATGCTTAATAATTCTATCAATATTTTTTTCACTATTATTTTATATTTACACGAAAAAAGAATGTTTAAGGAAAGATAAATATTTATGAAACGATAAATTTAATAATAAATTTATACAAATAAATTGAACAATCTCAACGTAAATACTACGTCAAAAAGAGAGACACGTCAATATAGCATCCGGCCTCGGCACGGCCGACAGTGTCTGTATGGGAACTTTATCTCTAGTTCTTGAATCAGATGTAAAAGTCCGATTCGAGATGTTTTTTGGATCGATTCATCGAATCGATGCGGTGCTCCAAATCGATCTAAAAATCGATTGTTTTACTCCAGATAATCGATTTTAGATCGACATGCCTACTTCTTTGACTTCACTTATTCACTTTCACATTCATTTCATTCATTCACAATTCACATCACAGAGTTCCTTTGTTGTATAATGTATATTCTATATTCACACATGCACTGTCATGCACTGTGATTTGCGATTTTGAATGTTGTGTTGAAGACTTGAAAACAAACATAGTTAATTAGAAATTAGAACAGTATTTATACTCTGTGTAATAACTACGGGTTGATAGGCAACGAAAACGTTTTGCAGATTGTTGTACGTCCCAGTACGTCCTAAGTTTGTGCAGTTACTTCGAAATATTGTTTTTGTGATAATGACTTTGGGTAAGTTAAAACTTAAAAAACTCTATCTTCAAATCATGTTTTCGTTCATTATTTTTTATATTATTTTTTAAATAAATACAACACATTGCACATTGCACAAATGTTTAATTAAATAGTTTTGTATTGAGTACATAGTAAAAAATGAAAAGTTTTTAATTAGCTGTTCTTATAGTAATTTTTTTTAGTGTTGATTTTTAATCATCAGATAAAAGTTATTCATAGAATAAAATACAAATTAAAAATTAAAGTTGTTGGAATAAAATAATTCAATTGTTTCTCTTTTACATTCAGTCAGGTTCTATCTATATTGTTATTATTACATTTAAATAATTTTAGTTTAAAACACAATTTATAAAACTATGATATAGAAAATCTAAAACTAAAAATTTAAACTATTATAAAGACCTGCTTCCCGTGGTATAGTGCCAAGAACGTTGGCTGTGTTTCCTTGCTGAATAGCTATACTATTAGCCTTTGAGTGAGAATAGACCCAGCCCTTTTATCAAAAGAAAGAAACTGAACATTTGATCAGCTGGTCAAGTGCTGTCAAATTACTTTGTGGGCATTTTAAGTTTTTAATTATATTTTAAGTGCCTGACCTTTTTCTTACAACTGGCTTTGGAACTTGGGCTCCTGATCCTACCTATATACAATATACATAACTACCTATTCGTCCTACTCTTCCGCTCCCCAATATACTTTGGGGAGTGGAAGAGTAGGACGTAACTTTTCTGTAACTCAGGTTTGTTTAAGGACAATAAAATTGTGATGTAATGGTAGTAGATATGTTCTATCCACATTAGAAATTTAATAATAATATTAAATTATTGGCTAAAATTGCTTTTTTATATGCTTGATTTTTGAATAGAATGGATGAGAAGAGTGAAAAATTCACAAAGAATTTTTTTTTTAAGAAATTTGAAATTAGTTTGAAATTACTTAAATAGAAAATGGAATAATGCTATTTAAAACTAAAAGACGGCCTTAAACTACCTATTTATTGTTATAAAAAAAAACAATTTAAAATGAATATGGTGGTTTTGGTTAATATCCTGAGTTTTTCGTAAGTCGTTGATTTAGTTGACGTAGGCTTTGAGCACGCACTCAGCACAACTTCAAAGTTAGCTCTATAAATACTAACATTGTCCTAGCTCGAAAGTAAAGTTTGAGCAAAATCAAAGTACGGTCTATAGATCTCAGCCTAAGTCAGTTGTCTAAGTCGTTGTTAATAAAGGCTATTAACATTATATTTAAATTTTTATGGTTTAAATTTCAATTATTTAGTATCTTAAATTGAAATACATTTTCTAGGCTTAAGTCTCTTTCCATTCATTGTTTAAAGAATTTGCTGTTGTATGGAATCTGTCCCCATCTTAAAGAGTACTAAAGTTGTCCTAACACGATAGAGAATAAACTTGGAAGGTCCTAAAGGCCACTCCAACAGCACCTCAACCACTTTCGCTTATATCTATACAAAGAAATAAAACTGAAGTGTCTGATTGTAATTTCAAACTAGCAGCTTTTTACTAAATGCATATGAAAGTACATACAGTACTTATAACAAAAAAGTTTTAAAATTTTTGGCTATCTCTTTGTTCTGGCTAATCTCCTATACGGCTGGACCGATTTTGACTGGATTTTCACTGGCAAATAACTGATGTTATAAGGAGTAACTTAGGCTACTTTTATTTCAGAAAAATGATTAGGGTTCCATGAAAAAAATTAAAACCCATAAAATCCAATTATAATAAATTATATATGGTCGAAGTCACAGGAAACAACTAGTTACTTGATATATACTTTCTTATTTTAAAAAAGTTATTTATAAATACGTTTCAATAATTTAATTATACTTAGAAATTATTTTGTATACATATAAAACTACTTTTGCAACATAATATACAAATAAAACTAATTTTATTTATTAAAAGTTTAAACACCATTGAAGGTTAAGAAAGCTGATAGAAAATTATAACTTTTAAACTGTAATTCCACCAAGATAAATGTGAAGAGAGGGCAAGTTTGATACAAGCAAAAAGATTATGCCAAAGGTTGCTAAATACATAACTTTCTAAAATACGAAGTAAAGCAAAATAAGGTACCAATACTGAAGACTTAAACATATATAAATATCAACACTCATGTCTGTCACCCAGAGGGGTAGGCAGAAACTATGAACGTCCATTTGGCACAATCCAGACACACCTTCACATCCATGTGCCTATGTGTATACATGCTCATTGGTTGAAGGTACTCTTGATTTGGTACGTCTTCAATGTGTGACCAATTTTGTTGGTAAACTTGCATGTGAAATGACATGGAAATACCATCAATTTACTTGTAAATAAAAATTAAATTACTGCTTATTCTGGTCAATTTCAAATTTTCCAGAGGGCTGGTTCTATTACGACACAGGATTTAGGTATACCCTAGGAAATGATGAACAATATTAGTGATTCAATGTAATTAATCTTGGTGTGAGACTGTTTACTTTACTTTATTTTTATATGTGGTATACCTATGCTAAAGCTACATTAATTAGTATAGTTATAGCATGAATGGGTCGGCACGACCGGGGAAGGACCACACTCTCACAGAATACCAGCATAAAATAGTAGCCTAATGCTACTGTGTTTCATATGGTGAGTGTAGTGAACTGGAGACCCTTTTTACTGGAAAAGAGGACTTCCATCTTAGTCCTCACGGTTGACAACGCATCTGCATTTTGATATGCAAACAAGGATTGATGTAGATGTCTATGGGCCACAGCAACCACTTACCATCAGGGGGACTGTGTGCTCCCTTGCCACCCTTATCCAATAAAAAAAACCTTGAAAGTATTGAAAATCTTACAATCTACATGTAGTATAATTATACTTAAAATTATAATTATAATTAAGAAAGCACAAGTATAATTAGTGTTGGTAACTTCTACTTATTTTAAAAGACTAATCTAATGATATTCCACTTAGTAAGACGGTAGAAAAAAAATGCATCTCCTGTTTAGAAGTACCTACCTAATAATCTTTATAAAAAATTATACTGAATCAATATTATAATGCTTCTAATTTTTTATCTAATCAGGTCAAATTACAAATAAGAACATATGAACAGGATGAAATTGTAACTTAACCTTAAATGAAAGTGGAACTCTTAAAATTTATTGAGATGTTTTTCATTTTCGATTTTTTTAATTTCATTAGAAACCAGATTACGATCATGAAACTAATATTATTAATTGTAATCTAATAGCTCTGATTTATAATTAAAATGAAAGGAAATAAAGTGAACTAATATGTTTGATAAACAAAATTAACATAAGTACATAACATACATGTACACTCATCTCACCCAGTAGGGTAGGCAAAGATTACGGACTTCCATTTGACATGACACACGTCTCTAATTCTTACCCTGGCATTCAGATTTAGCCCTAACATACTCCTAAATGGTAATTTTCGCATGTTTACAGCATCAATTCTACTCTGACTCTACCACACCCAACTTTCGCAACCATACATTAAAGTAGGGACTAACACAGCATTATGAATTGCCATGCATGCCTTTTTCACACATTCTGACTTACCACAAGAGAGCGTAGAGCCTCATTTACCCTATTTCCTGCGTTGACTCGTCGTTCTATTTCCTTATCATGTCTATCATCCCTGCTGCCAAACGGAAATAATATTTTTTTTATCATACCTTAATCGAATGTTTGTATTTCGACAAAAGTGCCAGAGTGCCACATTGCCTCTCGATTCAATGACTTATTAATTTAGTACGCATGGGTCAAATTTCTAGCTCAATTGTTTTTAATCGTCAAAATTTTGTTTTCGGTTATGCATATACGCACAACGGGAGGAAAGTAGTTTAGTTTCCTCCTTAGTGGCGTAATATACTATATTTTATTTCTCGAACTAATGTGAAATCCATCTAACTATACTAGAACAGCATGGCACACTCTTGACTACTGATTACAGCGGGATAGACTTTCTAAATTATTCTACTCGAAATATTAATTTATTTCCACTTAAACCAAATTAATAATCCATTTTTAAATAAATTATAGCAAGTAACAAATGTTTGCCTCCTCCCCTCCCTAAAAATGATGATTAGATGCTATATTCGCAGTGCGATAATCCCAGTGATGTGAGGGCAAACCTTTCAAGATTCAATGACTTCAGTGTTGCAATTTGACTCCACCACTTTTTTTTTTAATATAAAAACACTCTACACACCTCTTATATCCTAATTGTGTTATTCAGTTAACTTAAGCTAATGTTTCACATATAGTTTCTTCAATATAAATTTGGTCGAAATATTACTAGGTACTTAAATTGTATTTAATTTAGCGCCTACTTACAGATTTTTGCAAATCCGAATGTTCATACAATCAATATCAAAAGTCGAGGTGTGGCAGTCGAGGCTATATTTGCATTTTTTGTATATTGTAGATCATTCCAGCATTATCATTTACGTAATTTTTAATACTTGATATGCACTAATAATATTTTAACTGGATTACAGAAATTTTCGTTTCACTCAAGTATTTACGTGATTTTTGTTTTTTATTTAAAAATGGAATGCTTTATTCTTATAATGACATTGCATTAATGTTGTTTTAAAAGAATTCTTAATACCTATTTGTAAATAACACTTGCTATCGCTTGTACTTTGTACCTTACGGCGCCTCTACACGTTGGCCAACACAGTGGCGAATGTAGTGGCCAATAGCATTGGCCAACGTGTAGACGGGGTGTTTGGGCTTCATTGGTATGTATTGGAACGATGGCCCGCAAGTTGGCGCGAGATCCGTGTGGTGTCGGTTTTTTACAAAAGATCAAAGGATTGTTGGCAGAGTTTGGTCGCCGCGTCCACACGTTGGCCGCGAGTTTAGTTTGCTACAAGCTCCCAGAGTGATTACACGCATCTGATTAAAATTTTATATTCACGCTTTGTAGGGTGGATGACCCAATTACCAGCCTTTTAGTGCCAATTTC